TAAATACGAAGTTGTATATGTTTACATAATATCCTTACTAAATTGAAAATTCCTTGATGGTAACAGCCATACTTCAGCAATTTTCCTAAAGTCCCATGGTTGGTAACAGTGGCTCAACGTATGTTTATTCACTCAAAGTAGGAATAAATAAATGATTTCTGATTACCGACAGGTTTTTTTCCCCTTAAAATCTCAACTCTCTTGGGCTTTAATGCTCTCTTGTTAATGCCTCCTTTCTGAATGAACTCTCTATCTTCAAGTAAGCAGACAGAGGCAAAAATGAGTTTTTAATAGTTCCACTTATTTGTATATTCTTTTCACAACAGGTAAACCTTCATTTCACGTAAATTTAAAAATTACTAAACAAAGATAATAATATGAATTTTATAATTCCCCTTTTGGTCTGGGCAGTTTTTCCAACTGTCAGTTTATTTTGGCTGGTGGCATTCCTGACACAATTTTTACACATCTATGCCACTTGCTTATATTTATTGATTGTTATATTTTCTCTTTCCAACTTTTGTAACAAAATCCTTTAAAATCTGTTTTAGGAAGTGTTATGGTTTAAATGTGTCCCCCTAAAAGTTCATGTGTTGATTGCTGCTTAATTCCCAATGGGGCGGTGTTGAAAGGTGGGGTCATTAAGAGGTGATTGGATCAGGAGGACCATGCACTCATGAATGAATTAATCCATTTATGGAGTAATGAGTTAGTGGTTTAACAGGTTATCATGTTGTGAACTGGTAGCTTCTAAGAAGAGTAAGTAAACACATTAACAAGCATTCTCACCCAGCCCTCATTATGTGATACTCTGTATCTCCATGGGACTCTGTAGAGTCCCCACCAAGAAGAAGGCTCTTGCCACATGTGCCCCCTGGACCTTGGAATTCCCACCCTCTGTAACTGTAAGAAATAAGTTTCATTTCTTTATAAATTACCCAGTTTTAGGTATTCTTTTATGAGCAACAAAAATCAGTCTAATCCAGGCAGAGAACTCCCATTTCAGATGTACTACTTCTTCCTTAAGTTCACATCAACATAAATATAATTGTTGAGTGTGTTACCATCCTCTTGAATTGCTTTGACAGTATGAGGTCTTCATCCTCCTAACCAGTTTTCCATATTAGCTAAGATTCCATTTGTTTCTAGAGTTTTAGTAGTAGTGTGTGTAAAATTCCAGCTGTGATAGGTTGTAAAGTGACTGATAGACAATGAAGTTAAAAAAGTATTTGTGGACAACACACTTAATCTTGAATGTTAAGGGTAGGGGAAAGATAAGTCAATATCTGGGGAACATGACAGGATCAAGTGATGACTTTAAAAATATAGATTAGACATAAGCATGTTTGAACACTAATGGGAATATCAGAGATGCATTGCATCTGGAGGAATAAATTAATGGGGAAAAAAGACTCACAGTCCTTGGGCTACTACATCTTAATATGATGCTATGACATCCTGAATCTGTGCTCCAGGAAGTCAGCAGAAATACATATTGGCTCTGTTGTCTCCATGTCCTTCAATAAGATTACCAATACTGTTTATGCATCTTTTGATCCTGATATTTGTGATATAAAAAGAAAGTGAATGAAAATAAAAGAAAAAGAGAAACTAGAATCAGATCCCCAAGTAAGCTAGAAGGAATACTTCCTCTGCCAGCAGCCCTTCCACAAATATAACTGTGGCCTTCAGGAAGTCTTGGTTATATACATACTTCATTTGTCCTGCATAGTACTTAAAACTTGAATTCAAATGCTTTAAATGGGAGAACAAATGCTAACTGATTCATTTTAGTCTACACCACTCTGTTATTTTATACCCTGCCCAAAACCTGATGCTCCTTGTAGACATTTAAGTTTGCAAATTTTGCTCCTACTTTATAGGTGAGAATATTATAAACAAAAATTGTCAACCCCTCTGATAAGAGTAGAGTAAATTTCCTAAAAGATATATGAAAACTTGAAGCCTCCCATTGCTACCACATCTTGCTCTATGCTACTTTTGTGATTTGGGTAAACCAACCATTTAGAAAGGATGCTATAAGAGATTTGGGGAATAAAGTAATTTTGTTTGATTTCTGATAGCTTTATTCAATTGATTTTCAATGTGTTGCTTCCTTTGTGTTTTGCAGTTTCATTATTTATATTGCCTCTGCTAGTAACATATGAATATCTGTAAAAAATAGATAATACAGATATTGAGTTTTATTTTCCATGGTTGGGGTTATCTATGTAGTCATACTGAACGGTCCATAGTATCTGAAGTTTCTGTCATTACCCTAGCTTTTCAAATTGTTATGTAAGACAACCAACATTCTCTCTCCAAATATTTTCCTATGTGAATTTCTACAAATTCCTCCTTTGTTAGTCATCAGTTCTGATAGAACCAAGAAAATATTTTCTTAGTTCTATTTACGGTTTTCTTCTTTTCTACCATATTTCATTTGAAAGCATGTAGCATAGCTGCTCTCAAGTTAACTTACATTTCTTTGCCCTTACGAGCTAAACTCTCTAGGACTTTATAAATCTTAGGAAACAATTCAAACTTTCAGGTTTGGTTCTTTGACACCATCATCTTTCTACCATATTACTTTCCATGCCACTCTTTTTTATCTTCTATTTCTATTTTCACTGGTAGAAGAAAGAACATTGGCAGTGCTTCTGTGTCTTAATTTTCCAAATCAAAACATTAAAATCACGATCACCGGAGATGCTTTCCTAGTTTTTTCTGATGCATGAATCAGCAGCATTATTTGTAGGCCCTGGGTTTGAAAAGGTTTAATGGTCTTCCCAACACAACCTGGATATACCTTTCAGGACAAAAGTAGACCGAATGTCCATATTCATTAACCAAAGTTCCAGTGGGACTCACGTACCTTTTTCTTCTGGTACAAATATGGTTTCCTGGAAACTACTTATGCCTGTATTTTCTTCTTATTTTCTCAAGTCTTCCTTCCAATGAAGACATTTTAGTCTTGGTTTCTCCAGGAGCTTTTATTCACCCTCTACATGGCTTCTCTATAGCTCCATAGGCATAGTTTGTAGTCCTGTCATCCTCATCAGTATTTCAGTCTTTACTATGCTGCTAACTTTGTTTACCTTCTACCTTTCTTGTTCCGCGGAGCAAGAAAAATTGTAAAAAGCTCAGAAATCTTCCCAGGTCTATGGTATGACCCCAAATAACTATTACTAGTTTCTGACGTTGGTGGGTTGATAAGAATGTAATTGTAATTGATTCCATTCTCATCTGTTCTGACCTAAGAATATACAGTCACTGAAAATGGATAATAAAGGCTAGGTTTGTAGAAGCCTCTATATTTTTCTAACTTTAAGTTATACATTGGGTACCCTGATTTTGACAGAATATTTCTGGCAAAATTCCTAATGATTTAGTAATTTCTCATCAAAGTTAAATATAAAATATAAATACAACAATCTAAGTGAAAAGGGCAATTACAAATATTTTAAAAAGAAAAAGTAAGTTATAGAACTTAAGATGAACATATAGGTTGAAATGTGAATAAATAAAATAACTACTGTTAGAAAAATAAACATTTAAAAATACTTAAAAATCCATTTTATTGTGAGTTACACTATAATATATAGGAAATAATAAATAATTTGGTTAGGCCACAACCAGTTGTCAAATAAGATAAAACAGAAATTTTAAAATAATGTCTGGCATGTATATTTTTTATCAAAAATAATCAGCTTCTCTCTTCTTTCTTATGCAATAATATTTTTTTTTATAGCCTATGGAGTTCATCTCCTGAGAAACAGAATTCCAAAGAGGATTTAATTCCCCTGCTGAATAGCATTTAATCACACAGCTGGCTGCACATCAGTTTCCCGTAGCTTCAGATGCATTGTGTGGGTTCCACACTGTGAAAATCAGGGAAGGCATTTTTGAATAATAGTATAGTTGTAAATCTGCAAACATGAATATCATACTCAGAAATTATTTTGGTGTTAGGGCAGGAAACTAAGTCTGCCCTAACACCAAAGAGAGTTGGGGAGTTCCTTGTAAATAATTGCTTCTTTATTTGAGAAGCCAAAGTAAGTACTAAGAAATTTGTATCACTCTGTTCAGCACTTACCATTGGAGGTAGGAGTTCAATCCTTTCCCAAAAATATAACTCTAAAAATGAATATGTAGGAAGACACCTCCGCCCCCCAAAAAAGGCCAAGTGTATATATCATTTCAGAAATATCATATATCATTTATGTTTCAGGCAACTAAATATGTGTATATGTAAATATCTATCTATAAATATATATTTACCTAGGGTCATTTCAAATGTACTGATTTATATTTTTATTCAATTAGTCACTGACAATAACTAATTTTAGTACAATCCCTGTTGTCCTATTTCTTCCCCCCTCCTCCACCTACATACCATTGAGTTTATTAGGGGGAAGCTGTGGTAGCTTTAAACATTTTGCTGTTCTTGACATTTTATGCTGTGTATATCATAAAGCTTTATTCTGACTTAAGAAAAAATCCTTTTGGATTTTTGGTAGGATTCTCATTTTTTTCAATAGAAAAGCTTTTAAATTTACACAGCTAAGCCTTTATGCACATCTGTGTTCTACGTGACAGTATAGTCAATGATTTGAAGCAAACTTTGGCACCAGGATGACTATCTCAGTTCTCCAAATTATTAAGACATTATTTACTCATCAGTAAAATAAGGATGACAGTAATAACCTGAGCTTCACAGGGCAATTGTGCCTGCCACAAGAGTTAGCATTAAATACATTCTAGTTATTAACAGAGAAATAAAAGGACTGAAAGTTTACAATATTCTTTCACTATAACTTTTATTAAGTATTATTTAGCTAAATTAAATTTACAAAGCTGATTGAAATAGAAAGTTTGTAAGGTAGAAAAGAGAAGACATGAAAAGAAGAAAGATGAAATGACATGAAATGAAAGATAGATGGGCATTCTGAAGTGACTAACACAAGTGGCAGTATTAAGTCGAATACACGCATACTTACGAAGTTGCCCAAGTCGAGCTTTTTCTTTTTTACCAAACAAACGTCCTATGGAAGACTTGATTCCTTTCTTCTTGGGGGCTTTGTGAAGAGAGTCTTGGCTGCTATTGGTACTGCCAAGCCCAAGGCTTTCTGGCTCAAGAGAGGCAGATAAACTACTGCAAAACACAAAAGAGGGCAAACTGCTTGCTTTGAGGCAAAATCCACAAGGTATATATACAAGACTTGTTTTCTTTATATATGTTCAAAAGGAGGAACAAGGAGACTTTGATGTTATTTTCTTCCTTTTTTTCATGTTTCCTCTTAAGATATTCAGGTGTAGTTTCCTCAGTCTCATGTTCCTGAATCTCTAAATTTTCTCTAGAAAAATTTATTTTTGTTCCAAACAACTTTTTCCCCTTACTCTTTGTATGACCTCAAATTAATCAAAGAATATAGTCTAGTTCATTAAATGACCTTGTATGATTTAGCACTTGACCCATTATCAATTTCTTTCTCAAAGTTTGTTTTCCTAGTTTTAAACATAATTGCCCATGGTAATATATTTAAATGTAACTAATGATGAAGTTGAAGCTGTTATTCTATCTAACCTATGGTTTTACAGGATTTTTTTCTAGCCATCTTTTTCACTCTCAGTGTTGGAGCCTAACTCATTTAATTCAAAATCATCTGGATAGGATATAGAAGGAAATAATCATATATCCTAGTGATTACTGTATATTTTTTCTTAATTATAGTTCTCAAGTATTCTCTTAAATACATGATAAGCTGAATGACTTCCAAATAGTTGGTCTAGGTTTAATTTCTGGTCAATATATTTGATACTCTTTTAAAAGGAGGGGTGCAATAGATATTGTTATCAGTTTTTACAGGTGTCAATTTAATAATATCATGATGAATTAACTTAACTTTACCTATTCAACCTATTTAATCTGAGTTCACATCTCCTAAACTCCAAAGCAATAGCTTTTTATATGTTAAAATATAATTCACTCTTTTCTTGGAGATCGAAGGCCATAGATATTTTGAAGCTGGAGTAACTGGTATTTTTTTTCCACATTAACAATTAAAAATAACCAAAAAGAAAAAAATCCCTGCCAGCACAGAAAGTCTTGTTTTCAAAAGCATTTGTTGTAAAACATACTATTTAGAAAATAGATTCTTACTTAAAGTATTAATCATTGAGTCATTACATTTGGTTGTATCTATCAATTATGTGTACAGAGAGGCTACAACTGATAAGACGGTAAGAGGACACGTACTTATGATATAAGCTGCATGCTTATTTATATTATTAATTATTATAGTGATCTGTTTGCAATTTTTTAGGCATACAGGTAAGAAACTACAAAGAGCCACTATGTCAAATGAGATACTTCCCCATCTAGACTTATCTTTTTCTTTAATATTTTGGCCAGTGTATTTTTGCCTTCTGTTCTAAGAACATTCTGCCTGAGGAGTTCTTATTTTTGGCAGCAGCAGCACCCCCTAGGTGCACATACCTGTCTGCTAAAAGTAAATGAGGAACAATCATGGATTTTTCAGACCTTAATTACTCTTACACTACCACCCAAATTTATAGTCTTGTCCTAGAACCTCTTTAGTTTTTTGTTACTATTCCTAATAAGTCCTTTCTTTAACCGAATTCCATTTTAATAGAAAATATCTGCTAAAAAAAAAAAAAAAAAAATATATATATATATATATATATATATAAGAGCAGCAAGATCACAAAGACACAGTTAATTTTAAAAGAAAACATTTGATCTCAAAATGAAAATGTGGTTATTTCACAAGTGATATCAAGGAAAGGAAGCAAGACAATACCCTGATGGAGAAATACGACTCAAATAAAATTTTTTGCATACTTTTTGAAGCAGTCTATTTGACAACACTGAAGGAAGAGGAGTGTTTTTGGAAGGACAGCATTCGATGTGCAGTGTGCCTGGAGAGTCTTACCTTCGGGCTTCGTTGTGGTAGGAAGAAGGGAGGGTGTGAGTCATTCTGATGGCTCTAGGGGTAGGAGGAGGAGAAGTCTCACATTTAATTGTTGCTTTATCCTCCCGACCATCTTCTTCCACTACTGCAATCTAGAAGCAAACACAATACATTCAAGTGAACTCCCGAATTTCACCTGAAATTGATACACATGAATAATCATTAAAGCAAGGCTATGAGAATTTGAGTATTTCTAATACCAAACCAAACCAAACCAAAACTTTGGGCATATAAGTCTTATACATTCATGCTATTAAAGAGTGTGATTTTCACAGCTATTTAAATTGAAGACACTACAATTAAAAGATCATAGACCCACTACATAGAAATATTATTTAAAAGTAATAAAACTGATTACTCTCAATTTTTGAAATGAGAAGTTGGCAAAATATAACTTTATTAGATAAAGTGTTTTAAATCAGTCAGCCTAATAAAATGTATTCCAGGGTGTTAAAAAAATGAGTTGCAGTTTCTAAGAAAAAAGAAAAATCATTCTTTTCAAAGTGAGAATAATAAAAGGTAAGAGCATAATTCTTGAAAATTGTTTTGTTTCAGTACCAGTGATAGGAAAATTGGCAAAGACATACAGAAAACCAGAAGAAGATGGGATGGGATTTCTTTAAAGAACAATTTAATTCAGAATCCAGAACAATTCAGGATACCATAAATTTTGTCAGATATAAAGATACAGAGCCATAATAAAAGAATAAAAACTTTCCAACAGTCAAGTTGATTGCAGAGAGATTTTTTTACAACAATCCTGCATTTTTTTCATGGCATCATTGTGTATTACAATATATAGAGAGAGACCAAGAGTTGGGAAAATGGAATAATTTAATCAGCCTCCCCCCACCCCCCCGCCTGGGGCAGGGTGGGGGTGGTGCAGCATTCTTTGTGGGTAGGTTGTGTGTGGGTGGAGTTAGTGCACCTGTGTGGCGCCACCACCTTGGCTGGAGTTTACTGCCTCAGGTGGCTGCCGTGCATGCAACTATGCTTTCCAACCTACGGCTTCCAAGGACCTGTTTGCCTGTTGCCTAGCTCATAGACCTGTGTGTGAGGGGTCTGGTGACCCAGCCTGGCATGTGAGGGGTCTGTGACCCAGTCTGGAATGGGCTTGAGGGGGTCTATGAGCTCCAGACTCAGCCCTAGCTCGACAACTGGCCCAGTCAGCAGATGACAGGCAGGTAAAAGAGCCCTACAACTGGCATAGTCATGTAGATTTACAATTGGCAATGTTGGCAGGATTCTGACATTAGCCTAGCCAGATCTCGACAACTGGCGAAGTCAGTAGGATTACGGGCAGGTAAAAGAACTTGACACCAAGATTGTGGAAAACACAGCCAAAAGATATATAGTTCTGGAAGTTCCATTGAAAAAAAGTTTTCAGTGTGGCTAAAGTAAAGATTTTAAAGCTGTTTTCTGGGTAAATGTTTGTTTCTATATAAAGCTATTATGCATGAGTGTGTTCATCTATGATGAAGATCTTATGTACTGGAAGAACTTAATCAAATTGCCAGGACTCCTGTCCCTGAAGCTTAGATTAGCTTTAACAGCTTAGGTAAGCATCATAATATGATTCCTTCTGGCCATTCAACTAGGATAGTGCCACCAGGAAAATCTTTTTCAAGAACTGCTTTCAGATTGATTCCAATGCTATGAAAAACTCTTTCTAAACCCACCTCCCCTCTAAGCTTGTGCTTCTGAACTCTATAATACGTATCGGTATTTTCACAGTTCCATGATCTAACCGTGACTCTTTTCTACCATTGTTTCTGCCAAGCATGATCATTTACACTTCCTGAATTTTGTTCCTGAAACAAATTCTTATCAATACCCTCCTATTTCCCTCCTGTCACCAAACTATGCCCTTTCCCAGTATCAGCTCTTAAGAACATCGTACACAAACCATTGCTCCAAATAATATTTAAGAGCTCATACTGTAAAAACAAAGTGCAGGTGGAAGTCAAAGGCAATAAAGACATTATACTTGGTAAATTTGATAGTTGAGTACCAAAGGGAAGATGCTATAGAAAGACAAAGGACAAGAAAAATCAGATTCCGTCAATCTAAGCTATGTAAGCATAATATATATTCCCTTAATAATAATATAAAAAAGTTCTCTGGTTTCAGAAGTGTTTGGACATAGGTCGACTACCACATCTTGAAGATGCTGGAGAACAGATTTATAGATTTATGTATGTGCTGGATAGTAGGTTGAATCTTTGAAATCTTTCCCATCTGATATCCCATGATTGCAAGCTTCGCTGTTCTGAATTATTTAATAACATGTCATTTTGTGAATCAGAGCTGAAGTCCAGTTTGTTTCCTATATTGCATATTTGTTTTCTTGATTTCATTCCCAACAGGAAAGCACTGTTTTAAAGATATTTTCTGTGTTCTCCATGCTCTACCATCTGGAGAGACTGCTACTCCTAATGCTAATGCTAGTTAATTCCTAGAGTTAGCAAACAACTACCTGCTTTTTAGCAAACTACCCGCTTAAGTGTGCCTTTCATGTATAAACCAACCAATTCAGAGCTCATACCCTGAACCATCTTTCTTATCTGGCTCTTACACTGTAGGAGGCAATATTCCTCTACCCTAATCTCCCCACGGCCAGGCCTGAGACAACTAGAGGCAATCTTTATATCCCAGAGCTGGCTGAAATTATTCGAACTATCAATCCCAAGCCTGTTTACTCTGCCTTGCCTTTCCCTAAGAAACTCAAAAAGTCTCCTGCCCATGCTTTCCCCTTCTGCCTTCTGACTGACTCTGGGGCTTTCCCAGGGCTTGGAGTGCCCCTTCCACTTGGGAACAGTCAATACCCAACTTTCAGTGGCAGTTGTCTCCTGATCAGTTGGCCTCACCATACCCGAATAATA